GCTACTTATAAGCGAAGGCGAATGGTTTGGTTGGGTTTGAATGGATTATGAAATAAAAATAGACTTGGCAAAAGGCGTCTATTCGGGGAATTTAAGGGTATATCCACTCGGCGGGTGGGCTTTCTGGTGTAGCTGGAGGATTTTAAGTATATGACGCTGCTCCAATATGCAAGTGAGCATATACTGCGTATCGAGATTGAATAAATACGAGTTCAACTTGCATACTCCAAATTCTGTTAATGTGCGTGTAGGTATAACAGTTTGCGCAGGGTACCTTGGTAGGCTGATTTAAAGATGCGGTGAGCCAATCTAATTTGCGCCCTCCACAACCTTACACCATGCGCGGCATTTTTCAATGGGTTGGAGGACATCTTACCACGTCAACGACGTGACACGAACCTTGCAACTGATTCACAATATGCAGGGTTATGGCAAAAGAAAGATTATAAGCACCAAAAGTGAGATTCTACCATGAGGCTATCTACCACGCCAGGTGACGCAAAGCCTACCCTATCTGCTCCCCCTTTCCGTTAGAAATACGCCCAACAGCCCCATCAAGAGCCGCCTATTTAGCCCCTTTTTGTAATATGAATACTCGACTAACCTCACAAAGACTCCCCCCAAATATAGCACTCCGTGGCCTCTCCCAAGCCTTTTAGTAACGCCAGCGTAGGCCCTGCAGCTGCTAGAAGACCAAAACTCCCTTATTGTAACCCACACTTCGTCTAGAAAGAAGCCCGCAACTCCTCTTCCGAGAGCTTCTTCCGCAATTTCTTCGCCGCCTCACGCTCTGGGTCCATCTGGTGCAACTCCATCCACTCTATCGCGAACTCGGCCCCGTCATCCACCAGCGCCTTCGGCATGATGTTCTTGTTGTTGTCGAAATAGTACTCCGCGACACCATGAGCAGTCCTCACAAGCCCGCAAACGTCCAGTGACCAGATACGCCGCCTGAGGATCTCTGCGTTGATTTCCCGCTCAAAATCCGCCATCTTGTCGAACCCCCCCTTCCACCCTTTCCGCACAAGCCCCGCGAAAGCGAACGCATCGTCCTCAAACTTCGGAAACTCGACAAACTCACCCAAGTCCGTGAGCTCGAAAACAGCATCCCGCCCCTTTTCCAGGAAAAACAGCGTCGACGCAAACGCAAACTGCTCCGTCGCGACCCCCGCGCGATCCATCCCCGGCAACCCAAGCCAATACGGCATCCTAACCTCCGGCAACGGGCGGCCCTTCTTCACGCTATTATCGAACCCCGCGAGCTTCACGCACCACGTCTCCGCCTGAAGCAGCACATTCGACGGGCGAATCTCCCCATGCACAAACCCCAACTTCTCCACCCACGCCGCCGCCGCCGCGATCTGCCCCGCCCACAGCATCTTCTGGTCCCACTTCACCGGATGATGCGCCAATTTCGTCAGGCGCTCGTGGAGCGAGAACGCGGCGCGCTCCACGAACAGCCCCTCCGGGACGGCGAGGAAGCATTGCAGGATGTGCGGGTGCGGGTGGTGCTGCAGGAAGGCGTAGGCGCGCTTTTCGCGCTTTTGGGCGCGCCAGGAGGCTTTGGCTTCGTCCCAGCGTGAGTCGATGTGGATGAGCATGTTGTGTAGGATAGTGACTTTTAGCACGACGCGGCGGTCCAGCTTGAAGATTATGCCGTGGGTGCCGTGGATTGTTTCGTAGGGGGAGGTGGTTAGGGAGAGGTCGGAGAAGGGGAATTGGAGGGCGGGGATTGGGAAACCCATTACTGAGAGGTCGAAGGGACCTGGGTCCATTGGGGAGCTTTTGGTGCGGATGGGCTTGGAGTTGAGTTGCTTGACCCTGTGGGTTGCGGAGGTAGATATGGACTTGAAGGGCTCCTAGCTTTTACAGAAATGACAGGGTAGATGTTGCGGATGTGGTGGTGCAGATGTGGTGGTAAGGTTGGTGGTGGAGTATTGATTATGGGGGGAGTTTGCGGACGAGGACGAGGAAGTAAACACTCTAGGTTTTTATATGGCAGATATGCGTTGCGAAATATTCACCAGCCAAAGCGGCATAGAGAGCGGGAATCGTGGAGGATATCCAGTTGTAGGTGGCGGGTAGTATAGGCAGTGAAAGCTGTCTATGCCGTTGGTCGTAGCGTTGGCTGTCACCGCCAGCAGAGTGAGATGGGCGAATGCGTCGGGACGAAAGACTTCGATATGGACTTTATCGACTAGAGGAATCGCAGCCGAGACAACTATCTGAGGTATTATCCTTCCTCTATGCTCGCTATAAGGCTTGTCATGAGAATGGACTGGGTGTGAATGAATTTACCTCTTGGAACCTCTGATCTCAACTCCTCAAAGTCCTAAGCTTTCCAATGCATAGCTAGATTTGCTGGCCACGGATATCGTTGCCGGTCCTCTTTCATCCATCCCTGGAATATCCCAATCGCTCTTTCCGGGCCTAGGAAGCACGAATGGGCAACACGCCTCACAAGACGGTCCCTATATCGGACAAAATTAGGAGGCATCTCCGGATTTCCAAGCGCCCCGTCCGGTGCTCGCATACATTTGACAGCTTTCTTCGCTGCTAAATCTAGCGCTTCTTGCATTTGGTCTACTGACGCTACTTGTCCATGCCAATTTCGCAGCTCAGCTCTAAGAGCTTGGTGGACGACACGAGACTCGAGAAAAGTCACGGGGTTATCAAGCTGGTATCCGTACGGTAGGACCATCTCGACGTAGATGATGACCTCATCCATGAAATGGATGGCATTGTTTGCACTGACTCTAGCCCGTCTGTCCGGTAGCAGATGCACACCAAGGGATATAAGTGGGAAGCTGTCGATGTCTACAAGCTGTTCCTCGAGTTTTCGATATCGCCAGAATGCTTGTTCTGCCGGCAGCGCAAAGCTTAAGCGCTTCAGTACTGGATGTTCCGCACGGCACTGTGGGCATCGTGCATAGCCCTTTAGTCTTGTATCCGGCTGATCGAGCAGGGTCTCGAAGCACGTGATGCACATATGATGCCCCTTCTCTTTATCGCAAGACAAGATCACGGGTCTATCCTTGTCGTCGTAGTCGTCTCCACAGCCAAAGCAGGTTCTGTTGTCTTTTGGTAACGCACTAGGACTCGAGGGTTTGAACCTCTCAACATCCGGCCGCCTTGCCCATTTGTACCACGGTGCCCGTAACCCAAGCGCCTCTATCCGCTGCCTGACGCATAAGCATGCGCGGTCGGTGTTACCTTTGAAGAGGTCGTCCAGTCGGCGCCACCAGTGGTCGTGCTCTGGAGCATTTGACGGCTTCAGCTTCTCCCATTCCGCCAGCGGGATCTTGTAGAGCGCCGAGTCTTCTTTGCTTGTCTTGTTGTCCAACCTGAGAAGCGTTCTCCGCTGTATGATGATCCAAAGCAGTCCCGCTTTGCCGATGACAAAGATACCTGCTTCAAGAACAGTATTTCCAACAAAGCGTGTAGCTCTGCACATGGCGATATCGAGAGGCTCGGGGCCGGTGCCGCTTGCGATCGCTTTGGCGGCGTATTCGGCGGCGCTGGGAAGTGGGCGGAGCGTTGGGGAGATAGTAATGAAGGCAGTATCCATGTCAGCCTCGCCTTGGGGACGGCGGCGGTTTTCGTGGTTCATGGGAGGAAGAAGACGGAGAAAGTTGGGCTTCTTGCCTAGATGCGAAGGGTAGATGTATTTCGTCATATGGTGGCGTTGGGCGACGGTCCCGCCTGTTTGGAACTTGCATCGCGACATCTTCTCCCTATCTGTTTCCACTGGGGGTGTGGGATAAATGAGCGGTATCGAGCACGGTTATCTGGTGTCGCGGGAAGGGGGGCGAGGACAATTTATCTCTGAGGCCGCAAGGCTTGTTATGTGTGAGCTGTGCACTCGTTGTTAGCCAGCGCAGAGCTCGAGAGACTATTTTGCATACCTCAGTATCCCGCATCACGTATACTTCGGTATATAATGGCTTTACCATTGCGAAGAAGGCTACCATAGCATGACGCGACATCGTCTCTGTGAGTTGTGAATGAGATGTCTCGGATTTCTTTCGTCCACGAAATACGTGGTCACCATGTTAACATTTCAAATCAAATGAGTAGAAAAAGTAGGACATTGGGAATTCTAGAGCGATAGGACGTAATAGCTGTGCACGGTTGCAATACTATTGTGCTATCAGACTCCAAGGAGGTTCTCGTATCAGTCAACGAAGGCCACGCGATGTGAGACGAAGTAGACATACCCAAGATTATGCACCTGTAGGAAGAATACAATTCTATACATTTAGTTGCGTATCATAGTACCGCTGTCTTCTGCCACATGGAGAGTATGAGGACATGGTAAACGCAGGCGTGCGAAGGGGCCACGCATCGCTTCCGCTGTGAATGCGCGATTCTAGATAACGGGATCCTCGTGAAGAATTCACTCATATCTTTCGACATCATCGCGAGACTACAGAAACAGGGAGACGCGCCAGGTCATATGCAACACCATGTGGAAGACACGGAGCCGTGGATCAAGGCTCGGCCGCGCGGTTGTTCCTCAATGGCTGCTGCACGTACGCGTAGGATTTCTGACTTAACACAACCTTTTTGACGCTGAAATATGATGGGGCGAATGCTTTGGGGCTTTCGATGTTGTGATGTGAGCGCGTTGTTTGAAGGTTGAAGGGTGTGGTTGAAATGACGAAGGCTACGTAACCACCGCCAAAATGGATTCCACGCCTTCTCAGCACAACAACCTCTGTTTATTGAGACTGTTGAACAAAGCCGTAGATAAAGCTGTTATCTAAATTTTAACTTGGCAGACTTATGTTCTCCGGTTTAATTTGGTGGTGCTAGCGAAAAAGAGAGGGTTGTCAAGCTTGAGCGTGGCTAAGACGTTCTGGGTTAGCAAGATTGTACCCTGAAACTACACAAAGAATCCTAGCAAATAATCACCCGGCAACCTGCGTTCTGGCCGAAAGATCCGAGTGCAACAGGATCTACAGTATATAGGCATTTCAATTTTCAAACTTGATCAAATAGCCCGGCTGGCACAATTGGCTAGCGCGTGAGACTTTTATTCATTAAGAGATCTCAAGGTTGAGAGTTCGAGCCTCTCGTCGGGCGATTTTACTTTTGTTTTGCCACCCTCTTGTTGGTAGGGTCTAGCTTTTGCTTCATAGGGACGTGAATGAGCGTTTTTGAGGCCGGCAGGCTTTTTGGGTGGCGGTTCCTTTTGGTTATTTGCCAGCCCCGTAATAGTGAGAGGGAGGTTTGTATCCACTGCCCTACTTTTAAGGAAGACGATAGCAATGATGTGAATGAAGATAAATCTAAGTTGATATGTTCCGTTTCGATTGGCGGTGCTTGAGCCTATTCGAAATTGACTGTTGGTAGAAACCTCATCGAGCTTAGCTCATGACTCTGTACATCTATACAACCTCATGGATTCCGTGAGCTGCCTCACTTAGCCTAGGAGCTCGTTGTCAGCCAGCAACTAGTAGCTCGTACGCTTATATCACGTTACTTTGTTTACTGAACACCTCTATATATATCTTTATTCACTTCAACATAAACTCATGTTTAACTCAATGTATCTTAAGAACTCTAGATATTCCGCTAGCAATCAAAAACAAGCCCCTGAGACGCAACGGGTTCAGATATACTCATGTGTGCTTCAGAAAGAGGGAAACCATTGCATTCCAAGATTTCCTATAAGATGAGTACTACACGATCCTAGAACAGCCAAGTTGAAGTTCAAATGGCCTCTTGCTAATCTTCAAACCGGACTTCCTCCTCGATACCAAGCTCCTTCTTGTATCCACCTACCCTACCTAAAGGTGCTCATGAAAGAACTTCACGACAGTAGCATACCCCTTCTCATAATCCGCCTTACCCTTCGGATCCTTCAAATCCCCACGGCTAGTCATCCACCCATGCGGCGCCTCCTCATATCTCTCCACAAGCTTCGGAACTGTCAACGCATCTCCAAAAGCCTTCACAGCTTCTGCTTCCTCATCCTTAGACGCCAACATGCAGAGCGGAACTGTGATCCCCGGCGCATCAGCCGTATCAAGGCCGGAGGGGTGGAGTTCGACACCGGCCGCGAAGGGGGTGTCTGCCGCGCAAGAGAGGGAAACAATCTACGTTTTGACAAATGTCAGCAAATCCACGTCGTAAGTGAGGCAGCGTAGTCAGAGGACTCACCTTAGCACCCCAGCAGTATCCAACCACGCCCAGCTTCTTCATAGTGTCAGACTTCTTGACAGCATCTACTGCACCCAGCAGCTGCGTTAGCATTTTTGGTGCATTGCCGGGCCCTTGAGGGCCGAAGTAGCCGCCCATGAGTTTGCGTTTCTCGGGAGTGTCTGGTGGGAACCATGCTGGGTTTGCGAGGTTCCCGGCGAGGAAGTCGGGGATCAGGACGCGGTATGAGTGCTTGGAGGGGTGGGCGAGGAGGTCGGCGCCCTGGGAGGTGTATGGTTAGCATCATTAGATAGGAGATACTCGGTCCAAAGAGCCGGAGGATGTCCTGGGTGCTTACTTGGAGGATCTGAGGACTGAAGCCGAAGACGTCGTAGATTAGGATGATGACGGTCGAGGCGTCTTCGGGCCCGGTGGAATATAGGTACCTTGTTAAGATTGTTGCAACAAGACGAGTATGGCGAGAGGGAAGGCATCATGAACTTACAGGTTTTCAGACCATTGAGCTCAATGAATTCGCCCTTCTCCGTATACTCGGCTGAGACGGGCGGGATCGTGCAGCATGCCTACCCCGCTTCAGTGATGAATAGGCCCAACTCCCTAAGGGGAAGGTCACTCACTTCGCTGTGTGCTTGTTGAGCCATAGTGTATTCGTTTGCCGAGAGTTAATAAGGGCTAATTGCTAAAGTGATGATGAGGGAAAGAGGTGACGGCTGCTTGGTTCTATTTTATGATCATCTTCGAGCTCTCAGCCCCCAACAGGACACGTAGATCCCAGCGGCAAAGCAGAGCGGGCACCATAATAGAAGCGCCCGACCCTCATCTAGCTTTGGAATACGTAGAGATTATTGGGTAGCCACCAATTCTCCTTGCAGCCCGCTAAGGGTCCACATCTCCAACTGCACTTACTTAAGGCAGCTCGCATGGCTTTGTCATGGCATTATAGACTTCAACCAACATGCCGCCTGTCCATAAACTGACTCCCAACACGTCTTGAATGACCCTGATTCGTTCAATGGTGATTGTTGTGGCGCGGAGACCACTCGGAGAAGTGAGTCGGAGCCGCAGAACAAAAACGCCGATGTCCACGATTGACACGATTTGTAAGAAAGAAACCTTGATATTTGTGGTGGCAAATCTGAATATGGTCTTGTATGTTCAGCTGAAGTGCCTTGCGGTCAGAAAGTCTACGAATGCAATGTGCCACGCGGACCTGGTGCCTTCACCGAAACGCCGCACTATAATTCTTGGCACCATTTGATTGGTCAAACATATCTGCCGCTTGGACGTCACATTGCTTTCTCTTATCTGCCTTGTATGCAGTTCTCTAGCATGGGAATAGTGTCTTTCGAAATCAGCTTTCTCCTCCGGAGGTTTTTCGGGGGCTCCGCGCTTGCGTAGCTGTCAGTGTGTCTCAAGTAGCTCAATTCCCTTTGCCTTCGCCAGATTCCGGAAATTTCCCAGAGGCGTAACCATGAATGGAATATCCGCCCATGCCGTAAGAGCCTCGTAGACCATGGAGATAGCAGCTGGGATCTCGTCTAGTACTGTGCCGCAAATGGGACTAGGGTACACCAAAAGCAGGATCATCGTTACAGCGCAAGTGCTACGCAAAGTAGTATGCGAAACAATGGTTTTGTGTAGAAGTGTCCCTTCGACAGTACGTAGATGTAAGATACATATCATCAAGCACTCTTTGGCTTGAGCTTCGACGTCCGGATCCACGGCATGCCCACGAGAGAAGCCTGGGGAGGTTGCGGAGTGGTGACTTGTCTCCAGCATCCGAAGAAGAAATGGCCAAGATATTGTAGCGATGAGCCCAAAGTATTGAGTGCGTAGGTGTGCTTTATGAGGATCGAATACTGTCGATGTGTCGATCGGGAACTTGAGTGAAGGCGGGAGGTGGTTGTACCATGATTGGAGCTGCGATCGTAATTCGAGTGCTACCAGCGGGGCGTATATTGCAGACCCAGACTCGAATCCCACAGTCTCCACGGCATCAGTCAAAAGGCGGCGGAGAGTAGCTATGGCCAGAAAATAGTACAGGCCACTTCCTTGTCCCAAATCACTGACGCAAGCCGCACCAGATGGCAGGGGGATATCTGCCTGGAACGCTCGAAGCCCGGTGGGCTGGAGCTCTAGGCAAATCTCTAGCTCGTTTTCCAGTACATAGCAAGCCCAGTACACCCGCGCGACTTGATTTTGGAAAGCCTCGTCTCGGCTACGCCAAGCAGTCTTCAGAAGTAGCATACAGTCTCGTGATGCCGTTGAAATGCAAGACCAAGCTCGCAGTGGCCGCATTGAGGAAAGCATGTAGCCAGCTTGTAGAATTCGACATACGATCCTTTCGATACCAGTATCATCTAAAGACCATTGCAATTGCTCTAGTATGAAGGTCGCATGGTTGAACCACAGCTCTTCATCTTTGACATCGTGTCCTCCATCATACAGTATATCTTTCTTTTCGAGGACCGCAGCTATCGCATAGCTGAAAAGCGTGATGCACGTCATAGAGTCTGTGTTTTGGAACATATGAGCTTCGGCGTATCGTGCATAGGATGAATATGTCTCGCTGTCAAGCAGTGGCATCCACGATAGATAATCGGAAGCGAAGATGGATTGAAGAGTCCGTTGCCGTCTTGCAGAGATGTGAAGCGAGTCTAAGCGTGCGAAGGTAGCACGCCCATGATCACGCATTCCATTCTCTAATGATAGTTGCGATTCAAAGAACTTTGCGGTGTCGTTGTAAGTAAATGACCCTAGAGAAGGTGGCCCATTGAACGTGAGAAGTGTGGGCATTCGGTGACCGAGCTGCTGTCCGTTAGGGTTCGACCGCCGGGGACTGTAGATTGCAGGCCGTAGCATCTGATATTGGGTTGGGACGCTACATTATGTACATGGAACGACCCTGTTTGCTACTAGCATTGATTGCTGTGGGTGATTGTCATAATCCAACAGGGACGGGTCATTTGGGACAGCGGCGGCAAGGTGAATTTCACATTCGACTGGCTTTCTGCATGGCGTTTTCCCATCTCCGAAGGCTGTGAGACTCGAGCTATAGCAGCAGTGGTATGCGAACTTGCAATCGTTTCCGGGGGCGAAAAGGCTGCTGCGTGAACTTGTTCGTCGGTTCTTGATAGAAGTCTGTCCAAGTTGGCTAAGAGAGTTTGCAGAGAATCTTCCACGTTTTCTAAACGACTTTCGAGACGAGTTAGAACGTCTTTGGTGGCGCTGAGTGGCTCTCTGGATGTTCAAATTAGCCTGCATCCATCACTGGCAAAGTCAAGGAAGAAGAGCGGCTCGTAAGAACTAAACTGGAACAGCGGACAATAATGACAAAACACATACCTATCCCAAAGGTTCGGCTTTCGGTAGTTACAAGTAATTCCATTATCAATGCAATAGGAACACGCGGGTTTCTTCGCATCGCATCTTGTTCTCCGCGAGCGGCAAACTTCACACTTGAAGGTATGTCGGGTCAGCAAGAATTGTCGGTTATGTTTTTTTAGTCTTACTGCAATGGACACGCGTTTTCTAGGGTAGTCGACGCCTTTGCTATTTTGTTCTTCGATTGGAAAGGTCGGATTATTTTGTCGACTCTCTGGGGAGGTATCGTTCATACTGTCAAAAGTTCTTTTTTCTGCCAATTTTTGATGTGTATATTGAAGGATGGGATATCCTGGTGGAGACGTCGTGTCGAACTCCGCGTTAATGTGTCTGGGGTATTTCCCCGCATCCGCATTTAGCTTGGGGCGATCTAAGATCGCTTTGAGCAGTGTTCGCGACCGGGATCGCTTTTCCGTGGTACTACGGGGTCGTGAGGCATATATAAATAAGTTGTTACCAGTTTGTTAGAACTGACGTTAACCTGAAGTATTCCTTTCAATTGTATATCTTCTATCAAACATCATCGACTCAATGCC